GCAGACTGAGAGTTTGGTGGAGAAGATGTGCCACCGCTTCCGAACTGCCAGGTGAGAGCTGACAAAGATGAGGGTTAATGTTTGCCCCTAATTACACTGCTGAATGCTGTACTAACCTTCTGACACTTCTGGCAGTGTCAGAGGCCTCTGTGTTATGAGATTTCCACAGGCCCCTGCCCCTTTACAGGGTGAAACTGCGTCTGTCTGACCACTTGCAGAGCTCAGCAGGGGATCAGGCATCTGACCTTCCCAGAAGTGCCCGATTCTGAAACCAGTGAAGGTCATCTGCACAGGAAGGATAAGAATTTTATTCCTTTTTAGCAACTGTCCCTTTAAAGTGTAACTAAACCCTCTCCTCACCTCCTACCCTTTCTATCCATCTAGGGTGGAGCTAGCTATTACCCTGGGTTCACAGCTGTGCGGGTGGTGCCGCTGCGGATCCACACCAAAATCCATGCAGCCGCACCACCTGCAGAGTAATGTGGACCCACGGTCGGGTGCCATTAGTTCTAATGGCACGCCGCCCGCACTGGAAAACGCAACCGTACTGGGCTGTGTTTTCCAAAGAAGTGCAGGGACTTCTTCCCTGCGTGTCACGGGCACGGAAGTCCATTCAAATGAATGCGATCTCATGCCCGTGAAAAACACAGCCCACACGGCCGCATATATGTGAACCGGGGGTTAAAGTTGAACTAGACCCTACTATCTTTTACAGCCAAGAAAGCTGCCATCTCAGCCTCTGTTTTGATCTGCAGTTGCCATAGTGCTGCACATGTGATCGGCCATTTGATTGGCTTGACAATTCTGTTGGGAGCACAAGCAAATGTGATGGTTCTCATTCATGGCTGCCTTGTAACGGTTTTAGGAAACCGTTAGATTGGTTTAGTTCTGCTTTAGGATGTGCAGTTGGTGCTGCACACAAGCATCTGTTTGGTGTGTTAAGTGTTTCTCAATCGGGGTCCAACAGCAATCTACCCATCAATCGCCCGCCGCTGGTGGGTATATCGCATCCATGCTGCTTACACGCCCCTAAACCGTGTCTCTGGTCTTCACGCTCTTTCAGGGGTTCCCGAGATCTCATACTTTTTTGCCCAGGGTTCCTCCAAGGTAAAAAGGTTGAGAAACACCGGCTTAAATTGATCAGGTAAGGGCAGACATGAGCACGCTGGCACCTGCGTAATAGTTTGACTAGAGGGGTGCTGTGAATGTAGCATCCAGTGTTCATGCACTAGTAGGAAGAATGTAACTAAAAATGCACTAAAACACTAGTATTTTTCACTATAAATTTTATTCACTTTTATTGAACATTTTAATTGGAGTTATCTTTTAGAAAACAGTTCAATCAGTGGTGGTCCACTTTAACCCCTCGCCCTCCAGAGGATTTACCTCCCCTTCCTGACCGGGCCATTTTTTTTTTTTTTTTTTTTTTTTTTTTTTTTTCCATACGGCACTGCGTTGTTTTAACTAATTGTGCAGTCATGCAACGCTGCACCCAAGTTTACGTCCATTTTTTCCTTTCTTTTTTTTCCTTTTTTTTCTCTTTTTTTTTCTTTCTTTCTTTTTTCTTTTTTCTTTCTTTCTTTTTTTTTCTTCTTTTTTCTTTTCTTCTTTCTTCTTTCTTTTCTTTTTTTTTTTTTTTTTTTTTTTTCCCCCACAAATAGCTTTCTTTCAGTGGTATTTGATCACCTGTGCGTTTTTTTTTTTTTTTTTTTTTGGTTTTTTTCTGTACTATAAACCAAAGACCAATTTTGGGAAAATATATTTTGACTTTTTGCTATTAAACCTATCCAGTGAAAAATTTTTAAAAATCTAAATTCGTCATAAATGTAGGCCAAAATGTATCCTGTTACAGGTCTTTGCTAAAAAAAAAAAAAAAATATCTTGATACATGTAAATTAATTGGTTTACATAAAAGTTATAACATTTACAAATGGCTGTGTATATGTACTGGAATTTTTTGTTTTTCTTACTAGTAATGGTGGCGATCAGCGACCTTTATAGTGGCACTGCGGCGGGCATTCTGACAGTTTGTATGCAGAGCCATACAAAGCAGTGTGCAGGAGCTCACGGGAGAAATCTATTTTTTTTTTTTATATATATTTTTTTAGATACAGGTTTCTCCTCCATCGATAATACTCGGAGATTGCTGGGTGCCAGCAGGGTATCACCGGCTTGGACCCGGTGATTGACAGCTAAGGCCACGAATGGTGGCGAGGGTACAGCCCTCGTACGCCCTACCCGGAACTGCAAAATCATGTGTATATACGTGATTTTGCGCACCCATTCCGCCCTGTAGCAGTATTTCTGTTTGTGTGCTGAGGCTGACCAGGTAGCAGATCACTTTGAGCAGCTTGAGCAAATATGTGCTACAGAATGTTCACCGCTTTAGAACCGCCACTCCTGTAGCCATATCCTTTTTTGTAAGATTTATTTTCCTTCACAGAACTGAGCGCCAGTGGCGGGACCTCGCTCATTGCCTCTCCCTCCTGCCGTTCTCGGAGAAAGGACTGGTTAAAATGCAGGATTGCTTTGACTGCTACGGGGACAAGCTGAGCGATGACGCCGTGTACAATTCCTTCCTGAGTGTCATAGGGAAGATGCGCAAAGGAGCAAAACCTGAACTGAAGGTGAGAAGATGAGCAGACTTGGCGCTAGAATTGTGTGAAGTTACTGTTCTTGGCCATGGCAGATTTTCTAGGGTTGAACCTTCATTTATTCTTTATTACAAGGCACTAGACTGTAGGATGAAGACCCATAAGTGCCATTTTCCTGTCCAATGAGCCATGCTGCCTGGATAGGGGGATGGCAGGAAGGCTTGGTATAGGTTAGGGGTAGGCAACCTGAGAGCCGCAGGACTACAAGTTCCATCATGCCTCTGCAAGTCATAGCAGTAACTCAGTTTTGTAATCTTTGCAATGCCTCATGGGAAATGTAGTTCCACAACAGCTAGAGAGCCGCAGGTTGTCCACCTTCTGGTATAGGTGGACAGGGCTTGGTCCCTGAGCAGTCCTGTTGATTGGTGCAGCACTCTGATCTGTGAAATCTAGGGCACAGATTTCCATTGTACTGTTGCATTGGCACTACAATGTTAAAAATAATTAAAATGTTACTCAAGTCTGTTATTTTAATTGAAGAAAAAAAAAAAAAAAAAGATCAAACATTTTATACTCCCCTTCTCTGTGCAGTGGTATTACACAGACCAGGCCGGTCCTTCCCGGCGATCGCGGCTCCTCTGTGTGTCACGCTACATGCACACTCCCAACCTGTCTACAGAGCTGCCCACCCACCTTCTCTTCACTGCTTTTGATTGACAGCAGCAAGAGCCAATGGCTCTTACCTCCTCTCTTCCCCTTCACACAGGGAGACTAAAAATGTGTTTTTACCTTAATGCAAGCAATGCATTTAAGGTAAAAAAAAATGTTTTTAGGTTTAGTATCACTTTTAAAGTGTTGGGTCACCTTTACAGAAGAAATGACCAGGTGACCTAATATTACCGTCTCCTCTGTGCAGCACTTCCTGGATGGACCAGAGCGATTCACTGTGCGGGTGATGACCAATTGTCATCACTCTGATCTGTCCTGGAAGCGCAGTAAAGAGAAGAGCTGGAATTTCAAATCTCTGGGCTGCCTGACCAGCTGCGTGGGCACTGACAGCTCGGTGTTCCTGGAGGTAAGTGAAGTGGGGGTGGGGAGGGTGTACAGTGTTGGCTTACCTTTTTTTACAGAAAAATTAAAAGGTGAACTTAAACCATTTCAGGCTTTAAAAAGTTTGTGTTTGTGCTTTTTTTTTTTTTTGTGTTTGTGCTTTTTTTTGGGGGGGGGGGGTTTATGTGTTGGTTTTTTTGTGTTTGTCTTTTTTTTTTGGTTTTGTGTTTGTGTTCTTGTTTGTGTTTTTTTTTTTTTTTTTTTTTTTTTTTTTTTTTTTTTTAACCAAGCCTGACTGCATCCTGTTAATAAATACATGGATCCAGTTGGACTTTATTGGGGAGACTCACTAAAGCTGGAGCACTCACAATCTGGTGCAGCTGTGCATGGTAGCCAATTGGCTTCTAACTTCCTCTTGTTCATTGACCATAAAACCTGGAAGCTGATTGGTTTCTGTGCAGAGCTCCACCAGATTTTTGCACCATGCAGTTTTAGTTAAATCTCCCCCCTGTGTCTGGTGGATCAGTTTCCTCCTGGGACGGGGCGTTAGGCTGGCCATAGACGGGCCATTTTTTCTGATAACTGGTCAACTAAATAGGACAAAGTGTTTTTATGTTGGTGTTCATATAATTACCAGAGTAATTGGGTTTCAAGTCCTGTCATGTCGTCCATCCAATTCACATCGACATTCTGCATTCTTCCGTCTCCAGTGTGCCGTTCTTCCCCCCATTAGGGAATGGCACACCGTGGAAAAAAAAAAATGGAATTGCTGTGTGCCAGAGATGGAGGATGAAGAATCTGCTCCTGTTCAGTCTGCCAAGACTGGCAGTCCTTACAATACGGCATTGTTCTGAGCCAAATTGTGAACCAACTCTCCCTCCTTTCCTGTGCCCTGTAGTGAAGGGTAGGCCTCGGCTATAATGAAGTGAAGTTCTTGTGTTTATAGAACCGTGTACACCAAACCTACATCTGAAGACTTTTAAAGGTAGACCTATATGTATGAGGATCACATACTAAAACCTTTTCTATATTGAAGTGGCTTTACTAAAGGCAAATGTGTGCAGTTTCTCCAGAGCTTAGTAAATGAGCAAAAGCTCTCCTGACCTCCAATCATGTGCAAGCAAAAATGCAAAGAATACCCAATCACATGCAAGGAGGGAAAAAAAAAAGTGAAACTTTACCTCATTTGCTAAGCTCTAGAGCAGGGGTCTCCAAACTATGGCCCTCCAGGTGATGAAGGACTGCAAGTCCCATGAGGCCTTGCAAGACACCCAGAGGCAGAGGAATGATGGGACTTGTAGTACTTGAACAGCTGGAGGGCCATAGTTTGGAGACCCCCCCGCTCTAGAGGAGCTGCTGTTGGAAGAATGCAACTACACTTTGCAAAGTGCACAGTCTATTTTACATTTTTAGTAAATCTTTTTCATCCCTTTGTGTTAGCTGTGTCCCATGGTCCATCCCATTCATACAATTCTGTCCACGGCGTATAGCTGGCAGAGACCATCTTTGGTTAATGGATCACAGAAAGCTCTGTGATTGGAGGTGGGCTAGTCATGTGACTTTAATAGACAATATGATCAAGCATGCCAACTGGTCCACCCCCCATCCTTTTCCTCAGTTCTGTTATGCCCTGCTGGCACCTAGCAGCAGTCTCAGACTTTTTGGATATTATGTTAATGCCTGAAGACCTCCAAAAAGCCTGAGCCTCCTGCTAAGTGCCACCATCTTTTGGATGTGAGGTTGACAATCAGCTGTCACTCAAGTTACTGTATAGTATTACCCAGGGGCGGACAGACAACTCATGGGGCCCCCGGGCAATAGGGGATCATGGGGCCCCTGTATCCTTGCCCCAACTCAAAAAAGCCTATGAAAAAGGTACCAAGGGCATCTCATGGGACCCCCTACTGACCCCGGGCCACCGGGCAGTGCCCGAGTTTCTAAATGGTCAGTCCACCCCTGGTATTACCCTTCCCTCTTCCTTTTGCAGCTACATAAAGGGTTGTGAAGGGGGGAGGGGGGAGCTGGGCCAGCACAGACTGCAAACAGACACTTCCGGAAGAGAAGAGGGCTATGATGTGCAAAGGGGGGGAGGGGCTTAATGGAATAGACTCTCTTGGAGTAGTCTAATTTTCTAGCAAGTTCGGAGGCACAAAACTTATGGAAATGAGGCGCACTTCAAGGAAACATTTACGTAAGTTGGTGACCGTTTTTCTCTTGAATGTGTTCTTTAGTGTATGTCTGGGAAATAAAACATGCAATACATATCATCTGCAACATGTCCAGCATTTTTTTTAAAACAAAACCTGAAAGTACAGAAATTCTGTCCAGAAATCCAGTAAGTTCTTAAAGGTGAACTTCAGTCCCCATGCTGCTGGCCCTCCCTCCCCTCCCCCTTACTTGTGCCACCACCCTTTGGATTGTTGCAGCGGATCTGCGGGTACACGAGTGCGCCATGATTGGGATGGTACAGGAAATTGTGTTCAGTCTGCGTGTGCACTGATACTTCAGCATGCGCATACATACCGAAGACAAAGTCCTGTACCTCCCTATGTGCAGAAGGTCTCTGCCAGGTACTGAAGGCTGGGCAGAGCCCTCGATCACATTTGCGCATGCGTGGAACGGGCACATCGCTGTTTTCTCATGTGCAAGAAAGGTGGAATTGCAGCAGAAAAGTATTAAAAATAACAACATCAGACTCTGGGTGACGGATCGGCTTTAACTTTCTGTACAATGCTGCCTCTGCTGCACTGAAATCCCAAGCTTTATCAGCCCTGCCCAGTTCTTCCCCGCCAGACTACCGAACCTCCCCCCAACCCAGCCATTCCTACTCCTTATCTCACTAACATGGTGGGGCAGGTCTCCTCTACTAAAAAAAACAAAAAAAGAAACCCTCTACAATGACTGAGCACTCATAACTTGATTGTAAAGGTGTGTTTTTTTTGTTTTTTTTTTTTTGGGGGGGGGAGGGGTTTTGTTTTTTTAGTAGAGGAGACCTGCCCCACCATAAGTTATGAGTCGGTCTTAAGCGCTCAGTCATTGTAGAGGGTTTGTGGGGTGTTTTTTTTTTTTTTTTTTTTTTAAGTAAATAACTTGTCATACATTTATCTGTTTAATGATTTTGCACAAAGCAACCCCCGATCCTCCTCCTCGGTTCTCTCTCCGGTGTTAATGGGTCCCCCCCCCCCATTCCTCATTAAGGAGGCAGTTGTGCATGCTCGCTCCCGAGCCGGCACTGTGTCCGTAAAACAGAGCATGGTTCAGCCCTGCCCCCGCTCCCTCCTCACTGGCTGCGATTGACATCGGCGAGAGCCACTGGGGTGTGTGAGCAAATGAAGAGGGAAGAGAGCTGCACGTTGCTGGGTTGAGATCAGGCTCAGGTACATATAGGGGAAAGGGGGGGGGGGGGAAGCGAGCTGCACAATGAAGGTTTTTACCTTCATGCATAGAATTCATAAGGGTAAATAATCTTTCTGCCTTCTAGAACCAATTTAATGAACATATCTACATCAGATCTCTGTATTATTGAAACTGGGAGAACTGTTTTATATGCAATTCCAGAGACATGTCTGTCCCCCACTCACCATTGACACCTATGACATTCTGTTTGTTCATATCACTCAACACCCCCCCAAAAAACTGGAATTATTTGTTGACCACCTTGATTGAACTCTCATTGCAGACTATGATTGATGAGTTTGAAAACAAGCTGACCATGTGTCATAACAAAGGTCTGGAGAACATGGTTCCAGAGGAGGCGATCCCAGATGGCGAAAACCCTCCACCTTCCGCTGTAAAGAAGAATGCTCCAGGTAAGTCCTGGAATTTGCAAAATGTAGATCCAGTGATCAGTCCTGGGAATATATTGCGTAATGTAGATCCAGTGATCAGTCCTGGGAATATTTTGTATAATGTAGATCCAGTGATCACTCCTGGGAATATATTGTGTAATGTAGATCCAGTGATCAGTCCTGGGAATATATTGTATAATGTAGATCCAGTGATCAGTCCTGGGAATATATTGCGTAATGTAGATCCAGTGATCAGTCCTGGGAATATATTGCATAATGTAGATCCAGTGATCAGTCCTGGGAATATATTGCATAATGTAGATCCAGTGATCAGTCCTGGGAATATATTGTGTAATGTAGATCCAGTGATCACTCCTGGGAATATTTTGTATAATGTAGATCCAGTGATCAGTCCTGGGAATATTTTGTATAATGTAGATCCAGTGATCAGTCCTGGGAATATTTTGTATAATGTAGATCCAGTGATCAGTCCTGGGAATATATTGTGTAATGTAGATCCAGTGATCAGTCCTGGGAATATTTTGTGTAATGTAGATCCAGTGATCAGTCCTGGGAATATTTTGTATAATGTAGATCCAGTGATCAGTCCTGGGAATATTTTGTATAATGTAGATCCAGTGATCAGTCCTGGGAATATTTTGTATAATGTAGATCCAGTGATCAGTCCTGGGAATATATTGCATCTATCATGTCCTAACCATTACACTAGTTTCACTTCAAGAAGTGTGCATTTTAGGGCGTATGAGATGGGTGAGAGTTCAGCAAACAGATCACTATGTGCGTTACTCTATGAAGTCCCCTCCATCACAGCCTGATCCTGCAGATACCATCAGTCCCTCCATCACAGCCTGATCCTGCAGATACCATCAGTCCCTCCATCACAGCCTGATCCTGCAGATACCATCAGTCCCTCCATCACAGCCTGATCCTGCAGATACCATCAGTCCCTCCATCACAGCCTGATCCTGCAGATACCATCAGTCCCTCCATCACAGCCTGATCCTGCAGATACCATCAGTCCCTCCATCACAGCCTGATCCTGCAGATACCATCAGTCCCTCCATCACAGCCTGATCCTGCAGATACCATCAGTCCCTCCATCACAGCCTGATCCTCCAGATACCATCAGTCCCTCCATCACAGCCTGATCCTGCAGATTCCATCAGTCTCTTCCCAGGGAGCTGAGGCTGGGCTTTAGCCGTATTGTAACCACTTGTCCTCCAGAGGATTTTGGTAATTCTTCCAGCATCTACTGAATCGGCAATATCACACGGGCCGTGACAAGTTTGAGTAGATGTGCCACACGATCTGTTAAGTCCAAATCCTAAACTGATTTGTAGTTCATCTATGGAAGATTCTTTTTAAATATTTTCCTCAATAGGCACAAATCATATCTTTGTGGATATCACATGCAAACCCAGATAATGTAAATGATATCAAGCACTTAAAGTAGTTTTTTTCTTTCCTGATGCCAGTCCATGGCAGCATACATGTGGTAGTATGCTTGGTACCAGGAAAAATGTATATAAAATTTTCCTTTCCTGGCGCTGATTCATAACTGCCTACTACCACATGTGTATGCTGCTATGTTGGCATCAGGAAAATACCTGGTAAAAGTCGCAGTGACATCTTCACCGTGCTGGACATATTCTAAGCAAAGCTGTGGGAGGGGCCCAGTAGGCCCACCCACTACATGCTGCCTGCAGAAAATTACAGGAGGGGGCAGAGACGAGACCAGTCGCCCTGCACAAGGTAAAAGATCAGCAGTGAGCGGTCTTAAACTTTTACAGGAAGCTCTGGATTACTTCACAGATCTGTAAGAAATGCACAAAGCACAGCAAGATTCAGGGAAGCCTACACATGGTTTTTGTACCTAATCCATTATTGTTGCTTCAGCCTTTAACCCCTTGGTGCTGGCGCCTCCCGGCCCTTTAAGAGTTTCAGAAGCCAGGAGGCGGGGTGGGGTTTAGGGTCATGTGACTGTCGTGATTCTTTGGCACAGCGATCACATGATCGGGAAAGGTCCTGTTCACAAGAGATCGGGGCCTTTCTGTGAGTACCGGATTTGTGCTGGGAGCGTGCAGGGCGCGCTCTCAGCACGTTTTTTTTTAATTGCACACAAATGTGCGGCCGCTTGGCGTCAAGGCCCAGGCGCCGATAGGCTGCACATTTGCGTGCGCTCAGCGTGAACAGGTTAAGTAGGGACCGTATTAAAGCAGCGCTCCACCCAAAGGGGAAGTTCCGCTTTAAGGACTGCTCTCCATTAAGGATTGGCACCTTTGGGGCACGGGTACCCTAATTTGACAAGTACCGGCTCCCACTTCCGGTCTGATCGCCTAGGCCAGGGGTAGGCAACCTGAGAGCTACAGGACTACAAGTTCCATCATGTCTCTGCAAGTCATAGCTGTAACTGTCAGTTTTGTTATCTTTGCAATGCCTCATGGGAAATGTAGTTCCACAAGAGTTAGAGAGCCGCAGGTTGCCTACCCCTGGCCTAGGTGATTGGAAGGTGTCCTCCATCCCTCCCTGTAGTCTTTTGGGACACGTGACCGGTCCCAGAAGACTACAGGACCATTCATGAAGCGCAGCGCTACTCGCGCATGTGAAGTGGGTACCCGGCTGTGAAGCCGCAAGCTGTCACAGCCGGGTGCCCACACTGAAGATGTCGGCCTCCTGGAATACTGGGCTGCTGGTGAAATGGGCTTAGGGGGACACACCACGGGACCGAGGGACAGGTAAGTGGCTGTTTTTTAAAAGTCAGAAGCTACAGTTTTTGCAGAGCTGCTGACTTTTTTATTTTTTGATAGGTTGAGTGGAACTCCGGGATAAGCAAATCATGTCTGTTAAAGCGGAGTTCAAATTGGCAAGATTTTTACCACAAATAGCTGCCCTGGTCCTTACTGACCTTTGACATCACTGCATGTATCTCTCCCCAGCCAAGCGGCGCCCTCTTAGGTCTGTGAACAGATCGCAGAAGGTAAATGAAGAGAGCGAGTTCCAGACTCCCAAAACTCGCGCCCCAAGGAGACCACAGAGGAAAGTGACAGTTACCTTCTCCAGTGATGAGGAATCTGGTGAGTGTCACTAAAAGGAACATTGGGGGAGATTTACTAAAACTAGAGCTTGCAAAATCATAGAAACCAATCGGCTTCCAGGTTTTATTTTCAAAATTGAAAGAGCTGAAGTTAGAAGCTGATTGGCTCCCGTGCAGAGCTGGGCCAGATTCTGAGTGCTCTGGTTTTAGTAAATCCCCCACATTGAGTGGTTTTATTTTCTAGTGAAACTGCCTTACCAATCCTTGCACCCCTTTTATTTATTAGACCTGGAGGCGGAGCTGAGTGAAGCTGACACACCCAAAAACCCCACCCCCATCAGACGCACAAATACCCGCTCCCGGGCTCGGTGACCTTAAACGCTCTCTGGCGTCTGTCCAATGTCTGTTTTTATCATCTTGCTTCCCTTTTCCTCATCTTCCTTTTTATATTTGTATGATCTTCATATTAAACCTTCATAATACCGAATTTGAGTTGTTTTCCTATTGCTGGTTTATATTGCTGGACCCAACTGTGCTCATCACTCCTCAGTGCTACACATGAGCAGCTTGATGCCTCAGTATGACACTGTGACCTTGCTGCACTGGGGTGCTGGGTTCACTTACAAGTAGCGCAAACTTACCGTATTTTTCGCTCCATGAGAGACCTAGGTTTTAGAGGAGGAAAACGAGAAAACATTCTGAACCAATGGACTGCGGGCGCGGTGCAGGGAGGACCAGGGGCTGCGGGCGCGGTGCAGGGGGAGGACCAGGGGCTGCGGGCGCGGTGCAGGGGAGGACCAGGGGCTGCGGGCGCGGTGCAGGGGAGGACCAGGGGCTGCGGGCGCGGGTGCAGGGGAGGACCAGGGGCTGCGGACCTTTGGGGGAGGGGGGTGGGTACCCGAATTTGACAGGTACCCGTTCCCACTTCTGTGGAGTTGTCCTCCCTCCCTGTAGTCTTGTGGGACACGTGACCGGTCCCACAAGACTACGGGGCCATTCACAGATGGCAGCGCTTCTCGCACATGCTGTGGGCACTCGGCTGTGAAGCTGCAAGCGGTCACAGCCAGGTGCCTGCACTGAAGATGCCGGGGAGAGAAGATGGGCGATGGAGGTAGGAAGGAGGAGCGGGTTCTTCTGCACAGTAGAGCAGAGCGACCGGCCCAGTATTCTAACACGGCGGTGCGAATACCAGGCCAGCCGCTTCATAAGATGCACAAACCTTTTCCCTCATTTTTTTTTTTTGGGGGGGGGGGGGGGGTGGGAGAGAGAGAGAGAGAGAGAGAGGTGCATCTTATGGAGTGACAAATACAGTAAATTTTTTCTTTTCTCTGTATTATCTTTGCATTTACTCCAATCAGCAAAACTGTTTATAGATTGCATCTATATTTTAGTTACGGTGAAATTAAAGAAAACCCACTGCAGTAAAAAAAATTTCACATTTTAGGTAGTTTTTAAAATGAAGGCAAATGAATAGTTGTGTTCAACTACAGAGAGACCACTGGATGCAAAATTCCTGAAGTAGTTGTAGACCCACCTAAATAGATAGGTCCCGAGAGCAACCAAACACACAAAAAAATATTTTAAAGATCGCTGGGGAGAAGGTGGACAAGATTTAACCATTTCAATACCGGGCAATTTTACACCTTCCTGCCCAGGCCAGTTTTCAGGTTTCAGAGCTCTCACACTTTGAATAACAATTGCGCGGTCATACAACATTGTACCCAAACTAAAATGTTATCGTTTTCTTCACACAACTAGAGCTTTCTTTTGGTGGTATTTAATCACCGCTGGGGTTTTTATTTTTTGCTAAATTAACAAAAAAAAGACCAAAAATGTTGAAAAAAAACACGTATTTTTCTTTGTTTCTGTTATAAAAAGTTTACAAATAAATAATTGTTCTTCATAAATTTAGGCCGAGATGTATTCTGCTACATGTCTTTGGTGAAAATGACCCAAATTAGGATGTATTATTTAGTTTGTAGGAAAGTTATAGAGTTCACAAACTATGGGATAGATCTGAATATTGATCAATCCTGAAGTACTGACAGCCAATCTAATTTCTTGAGGTCCAAGAATGTCAGGACAGGACAGATATCCCCAAATGTCAGGACAGTACAGATATCCCCCAAATGTCAGGACAGTACAGATATCCCCAAATGTCAGGACAGTACAGATATCCCCCCAAATGTCAGAACAGTACAGATATCCCCCAAATGTCAGGACAGTACAGATATCCCCAAATGTCAGGACAGGACAGATATCCCCCAAATGTCAGGACATTACAGATATCCCCCAAATGTCAGGACAGTACAGATATCCCCCAAATGTCAGAACAGTACAGATATCCCCCAAATGTCAGGACATTACAGATATCCCCCAAATGTCAGGACAGGACAGATATCCCCAAATGTCAGGACATTACAGATATCCCCCAAATGTCAGGACGGTACAGATATCCCCCAAATGTCAGGACGGTACAGATATCCCCCAAATGTCAGGACGGTACAGATATCCCCCAAATGTCAGGACGGTACAGATATCCCCCAAATGTCAGGACAGGACAGATATCCCCCAAATGTCAGGACATTACAGATATCCCCCAAATGTCAGGACATTACAGATATCCCCCAAATGTCAGGACGGTACAGATATCCCCCAAATGTCAGGACGGTACAGATATCCCCCAAATGTCAGGACGGTACAGATATCCCCCAAATGTCAGGACGGTACAGATATCCCCCAAATGTCAGGACGGTACAGATATCCCCCAAATGTCAGGACGGTACAGATATCCCCCAAATGTCAGGACGGTACAGATATCCCCCAAATGTCAGGACGGTACAGATATCCCCCAAATGTCAGGACGGTACAGATATCCCCCAAATGTCAGGACGGTACAGATATCCCCCAAATGTCAGGACGGTACAGATATCCCCCAAATGTCAGGACGGTACAGATATCCCCCAAATGTCAGGACGGTACAGATATCCCCCAAATGTCAGGACGGTACAGATATCCCCCAAATGTCAGGACGGTACAGATATCCCCCAAATGTCAGGACGGTACAGATATCCCCCAAATGTCAGGACGGTACAGATATCCCCCAAATGTCAGGACGGTACAGATATCCCCCAAATGTCAGGACGGTACAGATATCCCCCAAATGTCAGGACAGGACAGATATCCCCCAAATGACCCCTTTTTTGCAGAGTAGACAGTCCGACGTACTTCATAAGAGGCATGGCGAGTTTTTTGAAGTTGTATTTTTTTGTCATTTTTCGGAAAATTAAAAAAATTTATTTTCACAATTTTTTTTTTTACATACTGTCACCAGTGCAGTACAGTGTCATCATATAACATAAATATATATATATTTTTTATTAATTTTTTATTACTTTTTTTAAGATTTTTTTTTCATACTTTACTATGACCAAAGTAGTACAATGTTACCATAGTAACATTATACTACTTTGGGGAAGTGATCAGTATTTTTTTTTTTTTTTTTTTTTTTTTTTTACACAATTTGCTTATAGCAAAGAAATACTTTGCTATAAGCAAGCATTTACCTGAATGACATCGATTCATTCAGCTTTTTTTTTTTTTTGTGCTTAGCTGTGATTTGGTCACAGCTAATCACATGACATGTGCATGTGATTAGCTGTGACCATTCACAGCTAGGCACTAGTATACAATGGATGGCATCATGAATGAAGCCATCCATTGTATACAACTGTCATGTGACCTGCTGTGATTGGTCACAGCAGGTCACATGGTACCTGCAATGGGGGTCGGTACTCAGATCTGTCATCGGCTGTGTCCGAGGTGCACGGCCGGTGACAGATCGCGCCACTCTGCATTAGCGCAAACTGCGCATGTGCGGGAGCACGCCAAATGGCGTGCACCCGGAGTGCAGAAGCACTTTTGAAGCCGCCAAACGGCCATTGGCCGGGCGGCTAATGGTTAAAGCCCGTTGTGGGAAGGAGTGCCGACAGGGGACTTGTATCTGTCACACCACGCTTGTGTCCTCTAAAAATGGGACAAACCTTGTATAATGTGATGTCAAAAAGCTTCAGGTAAGAGCACAACTTGGGTGTTGGTGGAGGAACACTGAGATGTCGTATGAAGATATAGTATTGAAAGTAGAAGTCATGTCAAGATATGGGACTTTATACATTCACTGTTGTGCACAAGATTTTTTTTTTTTTTTTTTTTTGCTATGTGTGTATACTGACTGCTTTTCTTGTAAGGCGTTGCCCTTATTTGTTTTAGTTTTAGACCTATATATACCTAATGAAGGGAAGAGATGAAACTAATTCTCCTATAGAAGTTGTACCTGTTTATCTGTATCCATCCCTCCTCTAAAGCAAATCCACCGGCCACTTTATTAGGTACACCTTTCTAGTACCGGGTTGCACCCCCTCCCCTTTGCCTTCAGAACTGCCTTCATTCTTCATGGCATAGATTCAACAAGGTGCTGGAAATGTTCCTCCAGAGATTTTGGTCCATATTGACATGATAGCATCACACAGTTGCTGCAGATTTGTCAGCTGCACCTACGTGATGCGAATCTCCTGTTCCACCACATCCCAAAGGTGCTCTATTGGATGGAGATCTGGTGACTGGAGGCCATTGGAGTTCAATCATCTCATTATATCCAAGAACCCAGTATGAGATGATTGGTGCTTTGTGACATGGTGCATTATCCTGCTGGAAGGAGCCATCAGAAGATTGGACACTAGTCATAAAGGGATGGACATGGTCAGCAACAATACTCAGGTAGGCCGTGGCATTTAGACAATGCTCAATTAGTACTAAGGGGCCCAAAGTGTGCCAAGAAAATCTCCCCCACACCATGACACCACCATCACCATCCTGAACCATTGATACAAGGCAAGATGGATCCCCCACACCATGACACCACCACCACCATCCTGAACCATTGATACAAGGTAAGGTGGATACCCTACACCATGACACCACCATCACCATCCTGAACCATTGATACAAGGCAAGATGGATCCCCCACACCATGACACCACCACCACCATCCTGAACCATTGATACAAGGTAAGGTGGATACCCTACACCATGACACCACCACCAGCCTGAACCGTTGATACAAGGCAAGATGGATCCCCCACACCATGACACCACCAGCCTGAACCATTGATACAAGGTAGGATGGGTCCATGCTTTCATGTTGTTTATGCCAAATTCTGACCACCATCTGAATATTGCAGTAACCAGTCTGCCCATTCTCTGACATCAACAAGACCTTTTCCTCCCCACACAACTGCCACTCACTGGATATTTCCTCTTTTTCGGACCATTCTCTGTAAACCCTAGAGATGGTTGTGTGTGAAAATCCCAGGAGATCAGCAGTTTTTTAAATGCTCAGAGCAGCCCATCTGGCACCAACAACCATACCACATTCAAAGTCAATTAAATCCCCTTTTTTTCCCCCCATTCTGATGCTCTGTTTGATCTTCAGTAAGTTGTCTTCATGTCTAGATGCCTAAATGCATTGAGTTGCTGCCAAGTGACTGGCTGATTAGCAATTTGTGTTACCGAGCAATTGAACAGGTGGCCGGTAAGTGTATTTTACACAGCATCTCTCTGCTTCAAAGGGGGGGAGGAATCTGATGTCACACACTGTGCAGCAAAGAACAAGTAACTGAGTGTAATCTGAGACCTGTGTGGCAGGAATAGACAACCCCCCTACAGTATTTTAGGGAAACCTGCACAGCTGAGGCTATCCATCAATTGTGTGCTGGAGGCGGTGTGGGGCCATCCCCCAGGATTCTATGGTGTCAGCATAGACCGTCAGAAGTGACTCTAGATAGGAATCTTTGTAGGTACTTTGGATTGAGGCAAGTGGACAATGTAACGGGATATGCTTTGCTCATCTTTCATTTGAGGTCCACAACCACTTTAGTGCTGAAATCCAAAAATTTGGCTTGCATGCTTTGGTCCAGCCTGGCACAATGTAACTACACAGAGCTCATTCCTGAAGGGCCATTAGAGAAGCTGACTCACTGTATTGGTCGGCACTACTACATCGATTGCACAAAACACCAGCAGGAACCAAAGATTGTGGCAATCTGCTTTCTCTCAGCACACTCGCCACAGGGGGGTCACCCTGCTGCCATTCATAGAATGCCTTGTACTTTGTCCAGAGAATGTATGGCTGAGAAAAGTGGAGCGGAAGGGTGTTGGCATCATGAAGTCCACCTTGTCCAATCAGAGAGCACCTTGTATTCATTATAAAATTAAAGTTCTTTAAATGACGCCAAGTGAGTGACCCCCCCCCCCCCCCCCTACCCGTGGTCAGTGTGCAAAGGGGAAAGCACACTCCCGCAGAACATCAGCAAGAAGATCATGGCTGTCACTGTAGTGCATCGGCTAACACACTCTGTACCATTTTTGTATTGTTTTTAGTCCTTTTTGACCAGCGTTTCTCAATTAGGGTGCTGTGAGCGTGGGACCCTGTTTGACCGACACCATGGTAAACTATGACAATGATCCAGGGCAGTTTAGGGTTGCCACCTCATTCCTTTAAACCCAAAAACATGAATGACACAAGTTCTGTGGCTGTTAAGGTGGTAATTAAACTCAGTGCCTTATCTGCGATAAATTAGCCCCAGAACCTGTGTTTTGGTTTTAAAGGGATGAGTTGGCAACCCTAGGTTGTTTGGCCACCAACGCCATAACCGATGACCATCTAGGACAGCGGTTCTCAACCTGTGGGTCGTGACCCCTTTGGGGGTTGAATGACCCTTTCACAGGGGTCGCCTAAGACCATCAGAAAACACATATTTCCAATTGGTCATAGGAACAGAGACATTGCTCCTCTATCAGTCTCCAGGCGGGTCCGCCCACATGCAGATTCGCCCACATTTCCCTGAACCGCCATGTGTGGGCAGGATGGCATGCCGCCTCTGTCATCTGGCCACACCCCTGGGTTCATATAACAGCTCCGCCTCCTTGACGGTGATTGGCCGGCGCAACTGTAGCTCAGGAGAGGCACTCAGGTGGCCAATCACCGGTGAGGAGGTGGAGCTTGGAGAGGAGGAGCTGAGCGGCAGCACGAAGATCAAAGAAGATCGCGTGAGGGAGCTGCCGGAGCGAGTGAAGAGAGCGGCCAAAGAAGGAAGACAGCTGTCCGGTAAGTGTCTCTACTGTGCAGATGGTGCTCCTGCTGCAGCCAGGTTTGTTGGCTGTAGAGGGAGGGAGTGAGCCCAGGCTGGAGCAGGGGTCAGCAAGGTAAGTATCATTGGTGTCAGTGGGAGGAATAGTGCCCCATCGTTGGTATCAGTGGGAGGAATAGTGCTCCATCATTGGTGTCAGTGGGAGGAATAGTGCCCCATCATTGGTGTCAGTGGGAGGAATAGTGCCCCATCATTGGTATCAGTGGGAGGAATAGTGCCCCATCATTGGTATCAGTGGGAGGAATAGTGTCCCATCATTGGTATCAGTGGGAGGAATAGTGTCCCATCATTGGTGTCAGTGGGAGGAATATTGCCCCATCCTTGGTGTCACTAATACCAACGATGGGGCACTATTCCTCCCACTGACACCAACGATGGGGCACTATTCCTCCCACTGACACCAACGATGGGGCACTATTCCTCCCACTGACACCAACGATGGGGCACTATTCCTCCCACTGACACCAACGATGGGGCACTATTCCTCCCACTGATACCAACGATGGGGCACTATTCCTCCCACTGCAAAATTACAGTTATGAAGTAGCAACGAAAATAATTTTATGGTTGGGGGGCCACCACAACATGAGGAACTGTATTAAAGGGTTGCGGCATTAGGAAGGTTGAGAACCACTGATCTAGGGCCAGGAAACATGTCATTAGCTGCTACGGTGAAAGCGGTGGGCTCACCTGCATCATGGCCGCTCATGACTCTAATGCAGGGCCTTCCCCAGCATTCAGGAGAACGTCAGTCTTTCTCCAGACCTCCTCCAACTCCCACCCTCTGCTGCACTACTGGAATCAAAAGGTAGGGCTGTGATGTGAAGTTGGATGTATCAAGGTGTGCGTGTGCATTGTCCAAGGCTCAGATTTTCCAGCAGTGTTTTTTTTTTTTTTTTAAATTTTACAGTGCTTTGAGTTTTTGAAGTTTGAACTACAAAGAATATTGCTCAATTAGAGGCTGCATTTTCCTTTCAAAGGCACATTAGGGTGGGGTTGGGCTGAGACTTTTCAAATGCAGGAAAACCGTGCCTGTTGACGTATCCCCTGAAGGTGTTCCCTCCTCTGATAGCTTTACTGGCTAATTTCACCTTGACTAATGTGTTACCTGCTCCTAAGTAACCCCCTTGAGCCATTCTCCATTACAGTGTGCAAGGGTTCCTCTCAACCGCTGTTGCATTTAAAGTTGGCCCGCACAGCCTCATCATGCATTCATGGGTCTGTGGATGAAAAAAAGCTACAAGTCCCATCTGCCACTGCGGCAGACAGACTTGTAGTTCTCAATAGGCTGCGAGTTCAGTAATCGGTGCTTTTGTAGTCCATCGAGACTTCCTGACTCTGACAGCCTGTACAGAGGAGATGGTGTGTGCAACGCTTTGCAGGCTTGTGTGTAAATACAGTTGTGTTCAAAATAATAGCAGTCAGACATCACTAACCGGATCAATCACTGTTTTTGGTAGAAATGATATTTCTACATGGCAAATAATTTCCTAGCAGGTGTAGTAGAGTAATAGAAATCCAACAGACCCGACAGTCATGACATGCATGCTGCTGATTCTGTGTCATTGAATCACTCATTGAAAGGGGCGTGTTCAAAAATAATAGCAGTGTGGAGTTCTATTAGTGACGTCATTCATTCTTTGATAAACAGGTGGCAGTTATTGCCCTTATTTAAGGAAGGAAGGCAGCAAATGTTGTACATGCTGGTTACAGTGCATTTCTCTCTGAAATTCTGAGGAAAATGGGTCGTTCCAGACATTGTTCAGAAGAACAGCGTACCTTGATTATATGTTTCCCCTCTCCAATCAACTTTTTAAAGAAGTGCAGAAAATGATCGGCTGCTCAGCTAAAATGATCGCAAATGCTTTAAAATGGCAACCAAAACCTGAAAGACGTGGAAGAAAGCGAAAAACTACCATTGGAATGGATAGAAGAATAGCCAAAATGGCGCGGACTCAGCCAACAATCAGCTCCAGGAAGATGAAAGAAGGTGTGACGTTCCCTGTGAGGACTGTTACAATTAGAAGACGCCGATGTGAAGCCAAGCTATCTGCAAGAAGTCCCCGCAAAGTCCCACTGTTGGAGCAAAGACGTGCTGAAGAGGTTACAATCTGCCAAAGAGCACATTGACCGGCCTAAAGAGAAATGGGCAACATTTTGTGGACTGATGAAAGTAAGATTGTTCTTTTTGGGTCTAGTGGGCGGAGACAGTTTGTCAGACGACCCCCAAACACTGAATTCAAGCCACAGTACACTGTGAAGACCGTGAAGCATGGTGGTGCAAGCATCATAATATGGGGATGTTTCTCATACTACGGTGTTGGGCCTATTTATCACATACCAGAGATCATGGATCCGTTTGAATCCATCAGAATACTTGAAGAGGTCATGCTGCCTTATGCTGAAGAGGAAATGCCCTTGAAATGGGGGTTCCAACAAGACAACAACCCCAAACACACCAGTAAATGTGCAACATCTTGGTTCCAGACCAACAAGATGGACGTTATGGAGTGGCCAGCCCAATCCCCGGATCTTAATCCAATAGAAGACTTGTGGGGTGACATCAAAAATGCCATTTCTGAGGCAAAACCAAGAAATGGAGAAGAACTGTGGAATGTGGTCCAATCATCCTGGGCTGGAATACCTGATCACAGGGGCCAGAAGTTGGGGGACTCCATGCAACACAGATGTACAGCAGTTCTCAGAAACAGTGCGACTACAACCAAATATTCATGAAGTCATTCAAAGGAAAGCAAAATCTTCAAACATTTCTCAGTTTATATAGTGAATGTTTGAGTTTGTAAAGAAGAATACAAACACTGCGATTTTTTTTGAACCGTCTAATATTCACTTTTCTTCCATTTTTTTTAGAGGAACAACACAAATTTGATGTATTTTTCTTCATGTTTTGATTTGGAATAGAATGTGTCGTGTTCCCAATGCATTTGTGTGGATGGAAATAAAAGCTATTAGGATTGTGAGCTTTATTCACTTTTTTTCAACACACTATTATTTTGAACACAACTGTATGTAATATAATTTCTACCAAAAACAGTGATTGATCAGGTTAGTGATGTCTGACTGCTATTATTTTGAACACAAGTGTGTGTGTGTGTGTGTGTGTGTGTGTGTATATATGAGATATATATATATATATATATATATATATATATATATATATATATATTTATATATATTGCACACACTGCTCAAAAAAAAAAAAAATTAAGGTAAAACATTGAAAACCCATCAGATCTCAATGGACAAAAAATATGCTGGATCTCTATACTGATATGGATGGGGTAATGTGTTAGGAACATAAGCATGCCCCATCGTTTGATTTTCAGGGTGTCTTTGAATTCAGTCTGCTGTAGGTCAATCATTTTTCATCAAAATGAAAAAAATGATGTAGCAGGTGAGTCCATTTGGCTGAAATGTCATTGCAGCAACGCAGAATGGACCTCAGTAGTTTGTGTGGCCCCCACGTGCTTGTCTGCATGCCTGACAACGTCGGGGGAGGCTCCTGATGAGACCACGGATGGTGTCCTGGGGGATTTCCTCCCAGATCTGGACCAGGGCATCACTGAGCTCCTGGACAGTCTGCGGTGCAACCTGGTGGCGTCGGATGGACCGAAACATGACATCCCAGAGGGGTTCTATTGGATTTAGGTCAGGCGAGCGTGGGGGCCATTCAATGGTATCAATTCCTTCATCCTCCAGGAACTGACTGCATACTCTCCCCACATGAGGCTGGGCATTGGGTCCAAGGATTTCATCCCCATACCTAATGGCAGTCAGGGTGCCATTGTCTAGCCTGTAGAGGTCTGTGTGTCCCTCCATGGAGATGCCTCCCCAGACCATCACTGACCCACCACCAATACAGTCATGCTGAACCATGTTACAGGCAGCTGAACGTTCTCCACGGCTTCTCCAGACCCTTTCACGTCTGTCACATGTGCTCAGGGTGACCCTGCTCTCATCTGTGAAATGCACAGGGTGCCAGTGGTGGACCAATTCTGGTGTTCAATGGCCAATGCCAGTCGAGCTCTATGGTGCCGGGCAGTGATCACAGGGCCCAATAGAGGACATTGGGCCCCCAGGCCACTCATGAAGCCTGTTTCTGATTGGTCAGAGACATTCCCACCAGTAGCCTGCTGAAGGTCATTTTGTAGGGCTCTGGCAGTGCCCATCCTGTTCCTTCCTTGCACAAAGGAGCAGATACCGATCCTGCTGATGGGTTAAGGACCTTCTACGGCCCTGTCCAGCTCTCCTTGAGTAACTGCCTGTCTCCTGGAATCTCCTCCATGCTCTTGAGACTGTGCTGGGAGACACAGCAAACCTTCTGGCAATGGCACATATTGATGTGCCATCCTGGAGGAGTTGGACTGCCTGTACAACCTCTGTAGGGTCCAGGTATGGCCTCATGCTACCAGTAGTGACACTGACCCTAGCTAAATGCAAAACTAGTGAAAAACAGTCAGAAAAGATGAGTAGGGAAAAAAAGTCAGTGGCCTCCACCTGTAAAACCATTCCTGTTATGGGGATAGTCTCATTGTTGCCCATCTAGTACACCTGTTGGTAATTTCATTAGCACCAAAGCAGCTGAAACTGATTAACAACCCCTCTGCTACCTAACTGACCAGATCCATATCCCAGGAGTTTAATTTTTTTTGAGCAGAGTCTAGCACAGCAATGGGCAAACTACGGCCCGGCGGACCTTTTAATCCGGCCCGCGGAGCGTGATACTGTCAGGATGGCTGTCAGGATGTGTGTAGGCGGGGAAGCGTGACGAACGTGAGGGGAGCTAGGCTCCTCTCACAGTCCGCCCTGAAGACCGGTGTAGCATGAAAATCTGTCTCCTATGAGGATCTGTCCCCCTCGACGTATCTGCGCATGTGCCGGCTGCGGATCGGCTGCTAATGCCTGAAACTGGCACATGCGCAGATACGTCGAGGGGGACAGATCCTCATAGGAGACAGATTTTCATGCTACACCGGAACGGCGCGGGAACACGGCGAGAGGAACACGTGGAGCAAAGGTAAGTGAATTGACACAGGGGGGACTTGGGGACTTAATATGGG